CTCTGGCAGGCAGACCTATAGTTTGCTTTTGGTCTTTGCAGATAGGAAGGGGAATATGAACCTGTCAGGTGAACAGTGCTAGTGGTTCTTGCATAGCCGAAGACTCATTGAAAAGAATTCTTTGCAGTCCTCCAGTGATCTTTAATGCACTTGTCCAGTTCCTGTGGTCCAGTAATACTCTATATTGTGGTAGTAAACACTTGATAAATTCTTGCCACTGGCTTGACAGAGAGGGAGTGCTCAGCTGAGGAATGGAGAGCTTTTATGGACAGAGAGCTCCGGGGACCTCACCTTTGGCTGGCCTGGGTATTTGCAACATTACAGCTTACCATTTATTGATTTACTTTTCTGCTTTTTATTTTGCTTTTTTTTTTTTGGTTCCCTAGTTTTGACTCAGCATTCCTAGTCGTAAGAAAATGTCATGCCAACAAGCGTGGGACTGCAACGCAGGAAAAAAGCGCCATTGTTTCTGACAGCAACCAAAGTGGCTTGGGTATGAAGGAAGGCACCTTTTTTCATAGCTCATACTGGGGGACAGGGGAAGGAAGAAGCGGGGCAGTCTTGCATTTATTTTTGTATCCCTTAAACCAAGATCTGCATTGGGGTGCTTGATATCCAGATAAGGGAATAACCTCAAATCTTGCACTCTGAGGTTCCGATATTCCTTCTATTTCCCCTATCCTTGTGTTACACAGCTCATGTTCACCTTTCCTCTGGACTCCAGTTGCCCAGCCCTGCTGTCCTGTGTCTTGTCAACCTCAAGGTAGTCCCTCCTACTTTAGAAAAATCCCCTTTCCTCTTTAGTAACATGCAGCAGAACCCCCCTTGCTTCTCCCATTTATGCCCCTTTTGCCTCCCAGCCAGCACCCTCTCTGCATTTTGCCACAGGTCTTTGCGTTTGGGTGGCTGGTTGACTCATGCCAGTGTTCACCATCTCTGCCCCATGCTGGATGTTGGCACAAATACCAAGAGTTCCTCTGCCGATTCCTGCAGCCATCTTGGGAGGCGACAGGACAAGAGGAAATGGCCTCAAGTTGCGCCAGGGTAGGTTCAGGCTGGATATTAGGAAAAATTTTTTCACTGAAAGGGTTATCAGACACTGGAATGGGCTGCCCAGGGAGGTGGTTGAGGCACCATCCCTGGAGGTGTTCAAAAGACGGGTTGATGAAGTGCTGGGAGGTATGGTTTAGTGATGATGCTCCTTGTTTGTTGTGTGGGTGTCTGTTTTTGTCAGTTAGGTTGACGGTTGGACAAGATGATCTTTAAGGTCCCTTCCAACCTAGAAGATTCTGTGATTCTGTGACAAGTAGGAAACTGCAGGTGGCTGTTCCTATTGCTGCCTTAACATCTGCAAGCATAAAATGCTAGTAAAGAGTCAGGGAGATTGTTCCCGAGGCTGTGGCCTACAGTCTTCTTTGCAGAAAGAACATGAGTTTTTTCACTCTTGCTCTGACATAAACAATATTTAAGTTCCCAACCAGGTTGGAGCAGTCTGTATCCCTTGACATTTCATGCAATTTGTGGAAAGAACACCGTGTTCACTTTTTGAATGGCTAATTTTACTGAATTGATTTAATACATCATAGAGATAAATACTGCTATATTTTCTGGTGTAACTGAATGAAACGAGTGCTTGGAGAACTGGTTGGGGCCCCATAGCATGCACAGTTTTTCTGATGGAAAGGTAAGTTCTGAATGAAACACTCAAGATCAGAGTAGCGTAGATAAACCCAGGGGTTACTGAGCTCCTGTGACTTGGATGAAGCCGCCTTTCTTGGCAACCTCTGTAAGAGAACACACAGACTCTTGCACGCTTTTGCTTCAGTTGTTACATCGGTGAGACAGAGGTCTGTACAGATTGTGACCTGATTTGTATTTGAAATAGGTCACCAAGAACTGAGTCAGACTTGTCCTGGCTGGGAACAGTTCCCAGAGTGCCATGCCCTGGTCCTCTCTGACCTGGACTGGTTTCCTCCATGACCAGCAGTTATCAAACAATCAGAGCTTTAAAAGGAGTGATTAACACAATTTCCTCTCTCTCCGAGTGCAAAAAAGAATTAAACGGACAGAATTATGCTCAAATCTTTTTCTTATCTTTTTTTGAGAAGGTGAGGGAGATGAGTGGAAAGGAACTACAAGATACATATAATGTCTAGATAATAAAAATATGTGTCTATATATGAGAAGACAGAATTTTGTATATTAAATGCCTGTTTTTGAAAAGTGTGTATAATCTTGTTTACATCAGGACATCTATCCTGAATTACACCAAATCCTCAGAGTATCCTCAAAGATACATTACCAGAGTGGAGTTCAGTTTGTAGTAGGTAGTATCTTTTAGAAGGTGTTTTGTAATGTTTTCCCCTTAAAAACTGAAATTCCTCACAATCTTCACAAGCACGCATGTTAGAACCTGGGAGGGGTAGGATAAGAGGAGGAAATCACAACTGCATTATAAGAAAAAATGATCTTACTTTGATAAATTAGGAATACCTATGAGGCCCATGACTGTGAGAGAAGGAAAGGAGATCCGGATGTACAATCCTGCTTACAGGGGACAGTGAAATTGGCAGCAACCGTAATTCAGTTCAGAAAGTGTAATATGTGCAAAACTTTTTCCTTTAAAATTTCTCCTCTCTCAGTGCACAGTAATACTGACTGTCTCTACAATTTGTCTGGATTTTAAATCAGATCAGTGTAATTAGCTAACTTTACTTATTAGCTTGAGCTGACTCTAGTGCTACAATGGTTGAATTGGTTGCCATTATATTTGTTTAACTGCTGTAAAGTAAGTTTCTAACAATAGGTTCCTACACTTAAATAGCCCTGTCGAGCAGTGGTGCCCTATCAATCAGTCAGACCTTTCCCTCCTGCTGTCTGCTCTGATAGACAGTTCTGCTGATGGGGGGACTCTGGAAGAAGAGATCAGGAAGAAGGGATGATGGATAAAGACCATCTCCTGTCTTGGGAGGAAATCAGAAAAATCCTTTCTTTGACTATCAACAAGCTGCTTTGTCAAGGTGTCAGAAGATTAATTATGCTCATGCGAGAGGCGAGAGCAACGGTTTCCCCCCCTGGTTTTGGTGTAATGGGGTGGCATTCTTCTGAACTGTGGCAGAGAATTGCAAAGAAAGAGGCTTAAGAGATTTCAGTCCCCTAACATCACTGTCCCCTAAGCATTTGTAAAGCTCTTAGGCATACATCCACGATACTGTGAAGTTCTGCCAGTAATTGATTAATCAAAGTATTTGTTTCAAGTGCAGTATGGACTTGATCTCATGAACCATTTGGTGCCAACTGCTGTTAAAGTCTGTCAACGTTACGGGTAGTTAGGTTATATAAAGATCAAGCTTTCAGTGAAGAGATGCAGAAAACCTTTCCATAGTATAACCATGAACGTGAAAACATGTAACTATTTGCTAGTTTTTGAAATTTAGAAATCAGTAAAAGGGAGGAGTATTCTTTGTTGGAAATGAGCAACTCTGCCTAATATTTTGTTTTATCTATTGTCCTTTTGTACATTTTTGAATAAAGTTAAGTGTAAAGTATAATTTAAAAAAATTAATGATCTTACATTTTTAATTAATTATTTGGGGAATATATAAAATGTGCTAACTTGAATTCTGAACAGAATAGGTTTAGGTAAAAAGAAGTGGTGTTTCTGTTTTTTAAAAAAATAATAATCAGAGACTTGAAGAAAAACACTGCTTAAAATATGAGGCTGTTTACTGTCACTTGGTATATTAAGTAAGTCTCTTCAAAAGCTCTTTAAATCTTGCACAAACTGTGTCAGTAAAAGGACTCCTTTAATTTTGCCTGCCCTGTGACTTAGTCCTGTGCTCAGATGAAGGAGAGCATTTCTGGTAATTTATTGATTTGATACAATTTTGTTTTTTTTTTTTCTTGAAAGGGTGAAGTCTTGAATTAATAAAAGGAAATTGGAGAGTTCAAGAGCCACATAACTTCTTAAGTTTAGTTTCTTTGGAATAGTTTTTCTGGTTTTAATGTTTGCAATGCTAAACTATGAACAGTGGTGTCATGTCTTTTATTTGTTTGTGCTTCTGTGCAGCCTTCCTTCATTTTAATATCACTTTAAGATGTGTTGAAGTCTAATACGCTACAGTTGAAATTGTAACAAAACCAAACATTTTAAACATGGATGTGCCTGACCTTGAAATGCTGCTGATAAAAGCTAATGCTGTTAAATTGCATGCCAAATTAACCCTCATTTCCAAATGCTTTGTGTGTGCGTTTCCTGTAGGATAGGCTTTGATCCTACCAAGCAACACTTCTTTTACAATCAGTTATTTTTTAATGAAGGAAAATCAATGAACCAGTTTCAATGCCTGGTTTCAGCGGTAGCGTAATGAAATGTTTTCTTTGCATCCTTCTAGCACTGTGTTTTGTCTGCTATATGGAATGCCGGACATGATACAGTGTTTTGGCATAGAGGTAATACTGATTTTCAGCTTAAAACTTTTTTTTCACATATGCAAACCTTATCAGGGATTACAAGTTCATGTGAGAAAGGCGCATGAAACTGGATAATGGACTGGACAAGGAGTAACTTTTTGAAGCAGTTGGGTTTTTTTAAAGTCTTAGCATCAGTGAAGCTGAGTTTTAATCTAAATCAAGAGAAAAAGTGTTGCTTGCCTCAACTACTTTTTTCTTGAAGCATCCAGTTTCATATTATTTTAGCAGTTAGTCATTTTGAACACACTTGGTTCTGTTTTATGTTTTCAATTCAGAAGTTATGTTGCAGGAGCATCTGCCTGCACAATGTGTGGGGTTTTCATTTGCATCTTTTGAGAAATATGGACTTGGTATGGGATTTAATGGGATATAATCATGTGCCTTTCTGGGCTGGTGGACCTGTGTATGGATGGGATTTAATGGGATATGTGCCTTTCTGGGCTGGTGGACCTGTGTAACTCTGATGATGTAAACTCCCACAGAAATCAGACAACAGGCGTGAGCAGAAACTGCTCATATACAGGTACCGGCTTTTGCTTGTTCTTGTCTGCTGAGGACCTCGAGTGTATTCATTTTAAAATGAAAGTGCATCTTTTTATCCTCTGACAAACGAACCACCGTCTGCATAAATTCATTTGAAGGGGACATTATCTTCCTGTGTGAACTTTGGTGGGAAGTGCTTGCAGGCCATAAAGCCGATCATCAGTCTCCCTGGGCTGGAGCCAAAATCTCGGCCTGTCTTCCTGACATCTCCACTGGGATGTTTCACTCCTGTGTCCCTTTTCTGTCACCCCGACCTGTCCCTGCGCTCGCCCGCTGGCCAGGGCTGCATCTTGCGGGTCCTCCCTGTGGAACGTCTCTGATCTGGTGGTGGACTTGCTCTTCCATTCGGAGAGGGAAACCTCCAGTCTTTGCCACATCAAGACCATGTTTGCAGGCCTGGACAAACGTAGGCTTGTGCCTGCTCTGTGTGGAAAATTGTTTTCTGAGCCTGTCCTCTTGATTGTGTTACCTTTTTTCTTGCATTCCTCTGCCAGGGTTTTTCTTGTCTTTATAGCATGGGACCTAAGCTCTTTATCTGCTCTTTCAAGGCCCTGAAATCCCTGAGGTTTTTTTTCTCTCCATCATCTGCCCCTTGTCTCTCCTTGTTATTGAGATGTCAGCCCAGGGACCCATTCAGCCCCGCTGTGCCTAATGGGGCAGACCCCTCTGACCTTGATCTAGGTGAGCTACACTGGATCCCATCTCACTCGCAAGGTCTCTTGTGTGGTGCTTCTGCATCTACTGAGGCATTTTGGCTCCAGGGGTGGGAGCGTGGCTCCATGGAGCTGGGGTGGGTGAGCCTTCCCTCAGCGAGAGGTGGCTGGTGGCTCTGCAGGCACCAGCTCTGCTCTGGTGGTCTCTGGGGTTTTTTCCACCCTGGCTGAGGCCTGGCCTTGCTGCTTTCAGTCGGAGCCGCTTAAATGTCTCTTCTCTGTGATCCTGCTCCCTGGAGCTGGATTTTTCTGTTATCCAGTGTATTTCAGTGCTCACCCCTCTGGGTATGGGGGTGGGGGTTGACTGTGTTCCCTTGTGCGTTGAGTTGTCCCGTGTGGATGCTTTGGAAAGGAGACAATCTGCAGGTCAGGGCAGCATCTTTCCTAGTGTGTATACTGCCAGCTCCAAAGTAGTACAAGGCATTAAAAAAGTACATTGTGCTTTACATACATACTTTAGTAGAAGACAGGTTGAGAGAGTTGGGGTTCTTCAGCCTGGTGGAAAGTAGGCTCCAGGGAGACCTTATAGCAGTCTTCCAGTACCTAAAGGGGGGCCTACAGGAGAGATTGCGATGGCCTCTTTATCAGGGAGTGGAGCGATAGGACGAGGGGTAATGGCTTCAAATTGGAAGAGGGTAGATCCAGATTAGATATCAGGAAGAAAATTTTCACTATGAAACAGGTTGCCCAGAGAAAGTTGTGGATGCCCCATCCCTGAAAGTGTTCCAGGCCAGGCTGCTTTGAGCAACCTGCTCTAGTGGGAGGTGTCCCTGCCCATGGCAGGGGGTTGGAACTGGGTGATCTTTAAGGTCCCTTCCAACCTAAACCATTCTATGATTCCATGATTTTAGAGCCTCAGGGGTGTGTGAAGACTTGGGAGTGAGCAAGTTCAGAGCGAGAAGACTCTGGATTTTCCAAAGACACTGTTCTGTTTGTTTGTGTGCATATGAGTTTTTAAAGCAGCGTTCTCTTTCTACTCTAAATACAAGAATTAACGTTTTTTTGGCAGAGTAAACCTCGAGTCACTGTAGTTCCTTCATGCAGGCCCACATCACTATTGGCCCTCTTCGAAGGACCCTGGCTTTGCCTCCAGGAAAATCCAGAAGTGAGGTTTCTCAGTTGTGCCTAACGGTGAGTGGAAGTGAGGGGAAGCCTTCCTGCCAGAGCAGCAGCAGATGTGGCTCGTGGGCAAGTGGATTGATCGTGGCAGTGCTGAAGTGCTGGTTGGGAGAGACATCTGGAGGTCTAGTCCAATTCCCACTCTCAACAAGACTGTTGCCAGCATTTGTGTTGAAAGTCGTCGTTAGAGGACAGAGAAAAAGGTAGTGGGGTATAACTGAAGATACTTACTGTATTATAACCGAAGGAACCTTAGGAAATGCTGATAGCAAGAGGAAAAGATGAAAGGTTTGTTGTTGCCACTTTTTAGCAGCATTTCTCTGAGAATTTAAGGGAAAATGAATTCTGCTGAAGTGACCTTTTTTCACCTCTATACTGGCTTTGAAAAGCCTGTGCTCCCTGAGCCATCCACACAAACACTTACCCAAATAATGAAAAATCCAAGTGCACATGCTCCAAGGGGTAGTTAAGCATCACTAAAAAAAAAATTCTCATCACTGCTATTATGTTAGAGGGCAGCAGTTCCTAAGGCAAATTGATTTTTTTTTCCATTTTAATAACTTCAAAATGCTCTCAATCTATCCAGAAGGAAGACATGATAACTCCTAAATAACTAACTAGAACCTTTTTGAAGCCAGGGATATCCTTTTGCATACCTTTTCCTGTGACTAAGGATTTTGTTGAAACTTAAAATAATATTTAGGAGGAGATAAATCTTGCTAAGTCCTATGCTTTTCTGTAGAAATAGAGGGTAATTGAAGATGCTGTTTTTTTCATTTTAAAATTGGGTGTACAACAGATAAAATGTAAGCTTCAAAAGAGGCTGTTTTGGAGAGGAAGTGAACTTGAGAAAAATAGGCAACTTAACATGAATTTTTTAGCCTTCCTTTTAGCACAGAGTGTTCTTGTTACACTTGCTGACCCAGTTGTTTCACTGTTATTTTAAAGTGTACTTATTTTCTCTTTGAGGTTTGGTTTGCTTTTTTTCTCTCTATTCTTGGAGAAAGAGTAATATGTGACACTTGCCTGATACCTGACATTAGATCAAACAGTCACATCGCTGCCTTCCTAAATGAGGCTGGTTTTGTGTAATACTATTTATTATGGTTTTTGAAAAAGGACAACCAGTATTTTTCTGTTTTGGCAGATGAATGGCTGTGAATGGTACCTTGCAATAAAATCAGCATTTCGGCGCTGTCCCTGTTGGGTCTTTTGTATTTATGGGGGAGGAATCCCTGGTCACTGGGTTGTTTTCTGTGCAAACACTGGGAGAATGCTGGGACCAACAGGGTTGAGCTGACCTTACATCCTGGCCTGTTCCCTGCCACTGACTGTCATGTTTCAAAGGTTAAACTAACTGTGGATGAAATGTAATCAGTAGTGCACTGGATCCTTTCCAGATCACACTGGAGGAGTGCAATAACCAGCATTGTTAGCTTTGGGAGAGCAAGAGACAGAGGTCATTACCTGTGTGTGTCTGAGCATGAGGAACCAACTGCCTTTCCTGCTACCTCCCACGTATGTTTATTTAAATCTTATCAGAATTGTTATCCTGCTTGCCCCTACTTTTGAAAAAAAAAAAAAAAAAAAAGGCTGTTTATTCTTTATACACTGTAAGTTCCATCCTTCTGTTGATTTCTTGAAGTTTTGAGAGATCTCAAACCCTATCATTAAACGAGATCTGGATCGATACTTGGAGAAGCAGAAAAGGCTGGAAGAAAAAGAGTTGCTGCTTTTTTAGATGACTCAAAAATAGGCCAGGATAAAGCAGACAATACTCTTAAGACAGAGACATACTGCACCAGCAGAGACAAGATAGTTTTGGTAAAGTTTCCTAGCTTTGCTAGTGGGTAGCTAGGAAAAGAGCTGGTACAGTAGGAAGCTGGCGAGGGACAGAGAGCAAGCGTGGGAGGAGGAGGTGGAACAGAAGCACCAGCATGAAGATAGCATCTCTGTGAATTGATTTCCTATTTCTCTCCATACTCAACCACTCATTTTCTCCAACTCCATCTCTCATTTGTGCAGTACTTTCAGTCCTCTGCATACAGATCTGCAGCAGGAGTCTGTTCCCAGCATCAGATAAAGAGGCTTTTTGGAAAGCACCAGAAACATGTAGCATATGGTGGGGAAGTACCGCTTATTGTCACGTTCGGGATTTCAAGGGTGACAGGCGGTGAAGGCAGTATTTTTTCTGCCTATTTAGCTTTTACACAGCCCATCCTCTGAAACTGCCTGTACAATGAGAATAGACTTGAGTGGGAAACAAAAAATTGTCTTCCTTTTGACTTCCATGCAAAGGTTCCTACTCCATCAAAGTGTGTTGTTTTCTTTGTAGACCAGTGTATGGTTATGGCCTTGAAAACCAATACATTTAGCAGCAATGGAGACTTTGCCTTGGAAAGAGGAGGGGGACAGATGGGGGACTTCCATTTCAGAGCAAGTCAGACTTAATTGACGTGTAGAGAGGATTAGATTATTTCAATATATGTCTTTGTATACACACCTGATTGTTATGTTATAATTAACAGCTGGGGATATGAATGCCTTTTCTTTTCCAGGGGCTCTCTGTATGGGTTTTTCAGTTTATGCATTTTGTGGTAGTTTCTAAAGAAGCTCTGATAAGCAGCTTCAGAGGCCTGTATCAGTTTATAGGAAGGTCAGCTCTGTCCTGAGGAGCTCAGTGTAAGTTGGTTATGATGTTGGGAGAAGAAAATGCTGTTATCCACCTTTGCTAGACTCTCTCAGGATCTGAGTACAAGCAGAGTGAGCTCCTTATCAGTGTTTCCATCTGTTGCCCCCCTCCTGTACTTCAGCAGTAGAATGATCTTATCCTTAATCCTGAGTCTTCATGAGATCTTCTTTCTACTTCAGCATATGTGAGAGAACACAAGGTTTTCTCTTCCTATTTACTTTTTTTACAAAATTCTTATTTTTGAAAGGCCTTTTCTTTCCTTGACCAATATTTTTTTGTTTCTCTCCATGCCAGAGCACTGGAGATGCGGAAGAACTGAGGAAAAGCATTAGTGACTGTCTTATCCTTGTGACCTCTGAGTAGTGTTCTTTCCCAGTCCTGTCTTTCACCTGCCACTTTGTCTACACTAGGTTTCTTTTTAATTGTTCAAAGAGCAGCTTGGTTTCCTCACCAACCTTAAAGTAAAATGCTTCAATATTCACTTTCATAAATGCTCCTGGACTTTTAGCATGCCAAGTGGTGTCAGGATTGAGCATAATTTCTGCATGAATGGTTTCTACTCTAGTGTCCAGTACTTGCGG